GAAAATGATCGTAAGAAATATCTACAGCTTGCTGGTCGGATACTGCTGATTTTCCTGTTCATCGGGTTCATCTTCAGCGGTGAATTGTCTCTTCAGCGAGTGATTGTGTCAATTATCGGGCTTATTGCATGCATAATGGTTGTAGTGGGATTTAAAGCTAAATGGTCGGCAACGTTTTTAGTGCTTTTCCTTTCGGTCTTTAATGTGCTGATGCACAACTGGTGGTCAATGCATCACAACCATCCCCAACGCGATTTCTTAAAATACGATTTCTTCCAGACCTTGAGTATTATGGGTGGTTTGATGCTGTTAGTAAATATGGGTCCTGGAGGTATTTCAATAGACGAGAAGAAAAAAGTCTTTTAAGGGTTATATTATATCCCAACATGCGGACACTTGGTTCACGAATGTATCGCTATATATCATTATGTTATTATTTTTTCTATCCTATCAACAGACCGGTTGCGAATCTATAAAGTTCGAAGTCAATGACTTACATTCAACCACAAATGACAATTGGTACATGTGTATCACACAAAAATCTTTCTTTCAACAAGTCAGGAATATAATAAAAGTGCTAAGGATCTTGTAAAGACCAGAATGAAATAGATAGTACGATATATATACACTGAGAGTGAACTGATAAAAAAGACTGCGACCACTGGTAACAACTACGCAATTTCAGTATAAGAAATCATGTTCAGATGAACAGTCATAAAAAGTCTTTAATCGCTCTCCCAATCTCCTAGTTTCTTGACAAAGGCAATGACTGAGAACATTCGGTGTTGGAGTTGGTCTTGCGAATATAAAAACAATCCTAAAGACACAGAAACCGACATTCGGATCTCGCAATTTTTCAGCAATTCCTTTTGTATTCCTGCGCTACATCAACCACGCTTTTGTCCATCCATATACTTACGATTATGAAAACGCTTAAATATCCTCGTTTATTTCTCCGCATAAACTTTAGGACAACTTTCGCTCATATAATTGCTTTGTTATTCGTAGAAATTTAGAGTTCATTAGAGTATCCGATTACTTTTGTGAGTTCTGTGATTAAAATTCAAAAATTAGCCTTGTCTTTTTTGATCACATACGGATCTTTTAATCAACATAGAATTGACATACGTTCAAATTTAATATTCTCTCTTATTACGGTAGGTTTCGCCTCATTATCATTGTTTACTGGGATATGAACGACTTTATTTTCTTCTTTCCAGCCTTGCTTTTCGATAAAGAATGAAAAGTCCTCATCTAAACAGTATGAGCAAATCAGCATGGAATATACAATGATTTCAACTGAATTGAATGTATATCATGAATGCTTACCCGAGTGTCCATTCGATGCCCCAATATTAAGGTAGCTCTGCAGCAATTCCGTAGAGATTGTCTGAAAGGATATGGCAACGACTCTTGCAATGACTACGGAATAAATAGTTATTATGAACAATCAGGCACTAGTATTCGTCAAATCGCAGAAACGAAAAATACCTTTGCGAATGGCATTCTCAAATCCAATTGCTTCAGACGTTAATATTCTATATGTTTCCTCTGATTCATACACATGCCAGAATTCTCGGTATCTCGCTTGTTCAAGAAGTGATTGGAGATGTAGCAATTTCTGTATACTATCTTCTGCAAGCTAGACAATAAGGTAACGGTCCATTATCAGATTACGATAAAACATCCGATCAAATTTTCAACTGTAATGTTAGTTGCGATTTGCTTACAGCGCTTTCGTGTAATAAATAAAGACATAAATTGAAATCTGGGTTTGGTATTGCTGTCAGTGCTTTCACGAGTATATTTATTATCACTCGGTCATTAATTAGATGCTGATTAAACTGATACCTGTATTGTTATAATAAACAACGAAAATCAGTACAAAGTTGTAGTCCGTAAGTCAACAGCTAAAAATTCAATGACTAAATCAGAGAGGGCAAGTTGAAATTGCATCAGCACTTGGGACAAATTGATGTTAGCGTATGTTAATTGAATATCCCAAGTTTCTATATTTCACTTATCATCACAGTTGCATTAATTAAATTGAACCAATTTCGCCCGCATTCTACACTCACAGCTTTAATATTGCCAAATTGGCCATCAAATCATATTCCTCATTCTGTAACTGCGCTCCCAAATATTCTTCCAGAATTGAAATATTGTCAGGATTGTATCTATCTACTCCGTCAATAAGCGACTGAATGATTTCAGGTCGTGAGGGAGGAATAAGAGGCGAGGCTTGGAGTATCGACATTTTGGAAGGAAGACATTTTTGGCAGCGAGGTTTGATTATAAAATTTTCGGTTTGATTACGTCATACATCTAAATCTATACAGCCAAACACATTACTTTACAGGAACACATCAATTGACGTTTCGTTAAATAACAAGTTTTTGTTATAAACAGGCAAACATATATCAAACAAACTTATTGACAAGTAAAGATATGTGAACAGCACAATAATCTCTGAGAGTTTATTTAATATAAAGCCAAATGCCAATTTTAATTACTATTTGACAATGGACCTTGGAAATTAATTTGTTTAATAATATCTTTTTTGGTCCTTCGTTTATTGATTTCTCTTGTTATCGAGCTTTAAAGCTTAACGGCAAAGAGGTTTTATCATTCTTTGCGGTAAGAAGAAAATTTCGCGAATAGATTAAAAATGTCAAACAAAAAAATCACATGACGCCCACCCGCCTACAATCATTATTTATCCCAAAAAGCACTCTTTTGAAGCTTGTCATTTACTACAAACATGTTCAAGGCGAACCCGTTCGACGAGAGTGTCTGTATGTATTCTACCACACCCTCTATTGGCCATAGTTTTGTTGCTATCTGATCCCACACCATTCTTAAGGCTTCTTCTGCTCCATTAGCTGCTGCGACAAGCGAAATACTTACAACAGAAAACTGGGCGCAAATAACCACTGTCTGCGAGAAAGTACAAGAAGGAGGGGAACAAGGGTAACAACGACATTGAGGCTAGTAAACGTGATTCCTCTGTATTAAGATCACATACGTGACCTCGACTATGTTGATCTTACATGTAGTGCGAGAGACTGTGTCGCTGCCATTTTGAAGCGTTTAGCACATAGGAGTGCTAACGTACAGTTATCTGCTTTGACAGTAAGTGTTGTTCGTCATGTTGAGTATTTTTTGTGATGATTTGCTTTGTAAATAATATTCTATAAATTCCGCAGCTATCAAACGCTATAGTCAGGAGTTGCGGCCATGAAGCTCATAAAGAATTATGCAGTCGGTCATTTACGCAGTCTTTAACAAGATTATTAACCGACAAGGTCAGTCACACTGTGGTTAACGAGTTTTCTGACACCAGAATACTGACGGCCGATGATTGTGTGAATAGAACACAAACGATACAGTGAAAAATAGAACATTAGAACTTATTCAAGAATGGACGGTTGAATTCCGCTCCGAGCCTTCCCTTGGGCTTATGGAAGAGACGATGAACAAACTGCGAATGCAAGGTATATCACAGGGTATATAGAAAATGATTTTTGTTCTTCGACCTTAATGTTAATATGTATATGGCACTCGCGCGGTAGGATTTTCATTTCCATCTCCAGAACGACCGAAGAAAGAGAATAAGGTTTGCATTGTTTACGTAATTATCAAATCCAGCATGTCATGTGAATAGTGACTAATGTAAGGAGAAAACAATTTAGGACGAGAAGATGAAAAGGCAAATGCAAGAGGAAGAAGACCTGCAGACAGCGCTTGCAATGTCAATATCTGAGACTCAAAAAAAGGTATATCACGTAAGACATTATTATGTATTGAAATAAGACGTAATCACAGAATATAATAATAACCATTTTATGTAGGAATCAGCTTCTACCGGATTGTTAACGGGCGTGGCAAAGGTAAACACGATCTGACCAACACGACGATCTGACTTCATACACTTTGTACGCCGACTAATAATGCGTCTGTTTATCAAGAACGATGGTTCAAGAGACCCACCAGTTACAAGAGTCAGAGCACTCTACGACTTTGCACCATCTGAATCTAGCGAACTTGGTTTTTCTAGGGGAGATGTTATTACTGTACTCGATAGTGTCTACAAAGACTGGTGGCGGGGCGAACTGCGTGGGCGTACCGGTATATTTCCAGTAAACTATATTGTATGTATGCGCATAATTTTGGCATTTTTTTAGGTGAAAATGGTGGCTTGGCTATATAACTCGTATTCGCTCCTGCTACACGAAGTTGTTAACATTCGCTATTTTTATAATTTAGGAGAAACTCCCTGACCCTACACCTGCAGACTTGGCACGGGAAGCGGAAGTTGAAACTTCCGTATTCGCAGAGTCAAAAAATATTGAAAAATTACTACAAATGTTATCAATCATTGATCCAAATAGGGATAGTTTCTCAGAGAATGAAGAGATTCAAGTGAGTGAATGTGGATGCGTGAGTGAGATTTTCGTGAGCATTACGTGGAAATTCTTATATCATTTTCTTACAATAACAAATAGACCCTGTATCATTCAACTTTGGCGGTGCGTCCGAAGTTGGTGAAGCTTATTGAAAAGTATAGTCAGAAAAAAGGTATTAAGTGGTAATAAGAATTATATTCTTACACTGAGTAAAAAAATAATAACTAATGCACTTTTTTGATAGACGAATTAATCGCTTTGAATGAGAAATTTACGAAAGCAAGAGCGACTTACGACAGGCTGCTGGAAGTGTCTATCGACAGATACAAGTACAATACACCATGTATGTAACAAGCTCTCGCTACTCTTTGCATTTACTTACCAAATCTCTTATAACTTATTTTGATTACTTTCGGTTATAAAGACGGCTATAGCGCATCGACAGATGCGTATTCTCCGTATAATACAATAACGAATTCAGCATACCCTACACCACCGCCAACCACTCAATACGATACGTCAGCTACCTACGCTCAGTATACGTCTTCCCAAACCTCAATATATACTCCTCCCGTTCAGCCGGATTCTCGTCAGGGCGCGTATTACTCTTCACAACCGCAGCATTCACTTCCATATCCACCTGCTACCCAGGATAAACCTCGACAGGTCCCTTATGAGGCACAATCTCTATATGGTACCGCACCACCAGTAGACGTGTCAGCTCAGGCAGTTCCCTATGTGGTGGGTACTTATCCGCCCATTACGAATCGAGACCAGCCTCAAAACACAGCATACGCTTCACCTGTTCAGCCAGATCTTCGTCAATCTGCGTTCTACAATCCACCGCAACAACAGCAGCAGCAGAAACAGCAACAGCAACAGCAACAACAACAACAGCAGCAGCAGCAGCAGCAACAGCCACAGCAACAACATTCGTATCCGTACCAACAACCCGTCGTCCAAGATAAGCTTCCGCGTCAAGACACATACGATACGCAACCTCCGTATAGTGCCGCTCCATCTGTGGACGCATCCGCTCAGGCAGTCGCATATACTTCTCAGCAAGAATATCTGTAATTGTAGTTGTTGTATTTGTTCCTTCCAGGACTTATTTAGTAATATGATGATTATTTTCCCAATTTTCATATGTATAGTAAATATTCGGTTTTCTGTGACAATAATCAAGTTTGATATCCACATACAGTTTATCGAGGGTGGAATAAACAACGAAGTGATTTGAGCTGTAAATTTCTATAGTTTTGATCTAGTTCAGAAATTTTGATTTTCCCTTTGTTCTTTCTTTTTAATACTGTTAAAGAACCGGAACTGATGGGAAAATAGACAATAACGAAATAATATTGGGGAATGTTGTAAATTCCGTCGGGTTTAATGTCTTTTTTTTTATGAAAAGATAGCAGACTTGCCATGAGAGTCTGATACCAAACACCCATCCATAATAGCCCATATCACTATATAGGACTGCTTTCTACTTTTTACAAAAATAACAAACACTATGGCAAGCTTTAACGAAGCACAACACCTTAGGTCCAAGTTTAATTGTGGGAGCGCACAGTCGATCAGGAGAATCGTCTATCGGATTTAAAGCTTATAATTACAAGTATACCCATAAGATAATTGAAGAAGCATGTTTGTGGTCATTCGAAGGTTGCGGAACTGACGAGTTATTCGTAGGTTGGGGAACTGAGGACCTCCTTTGTATGAATCCTTTTTTGGTGGTGATGATGCTAGCATTGATATTGAGGGGAGAGACTATGTGTTTACGATTTGGATTTTCAAATGAGCAATGGTTAAAAGAGTTTGGGATATAATATGTTTATGGTTGTCGGTATTTGAATGGCGGAACCGAAAACATGCATAAAACATGCAATCTTGAAACATGCATCACTGTGAAAATAGAGTTTACATATATCATCCACGTGTCGATCTATTGTACCACCCGTGCAAGTCGAATATAATAATAATAATAAACGTGAATTATCCGACCAGATGGAAACAACAACAACAACAACAACAACAACAATAATAATAATAATACAGCTCATACAACAAATTTATAATTTGCTTATTATGTGACATAAATTTTATATAATTATTGTGCAGGATATTGCTGAATTGCGTGGCGTCAACTTCAAGCAGAGTGTGCAAACCTGAGCCAATGCTGTGCCGTGACGATTGGCCCAATTGTTATCCTTGTTGATTACTCAACTATTAGATTGGACCGTGTATCTTGCTGCGATAGCAATTACTGTTAGAGGTCGACAAATAGAATTGCAGAACCTGGCCTACTGCAAGGGTAAATCTTCAAGATAGAGGTTTTTGACGAGGTAGTATTTATTGCATATGTATAGATTCCTTTTAAGGCCAAGGCCAAGGTCAAGAGGCAAGAGCATTTGTTGCCTCCAACATTAGAGTAACTTTGTTATGCCGATTCTTCGTATATCCCACGTGTACACGTTCTAAAGTCATCCATGAGATACATCATTTATTATTATGTACAAACCAACAAGGGCTATCCTTATTGTAATACATGATAAAATCGAAGGTATAAATGATATTTTTGTTTGACTTCTAAACCAGTTATGCTAAAATAAAAGAGTGTTTCGGGGGAGTAAAGACAAAATGGGGATGTGAAGTTGATGACTGGTCATCGTGCAAACACGTAAGAAAGTGTATAATGAAGAATGAGACATTTTGTTTGTACATTTAGACTGTTTAGACAAGTATATGCATGTGATATTTTGATATGATGAACAATAATCTGCTTATTCTAAGTAAACCACTTACTGTTATTCTTTATCGTCAAACAGTATCTATTCTTAGAAACAAACACAAATCCATGACATCATCCTGTATATGAGATGCCATTCGCGAGCCGTCAAATACGGTTCTCGGGTAATGTCACTCAAACGTCTCACATGTTTTAGTGGTATTAGCTTGTTGCATAAGAGCGAGCGTTGATAGTTATTAATAGACCAGGACGACCTCGTTCAACTCGTTAAAGGAGACCATGCTATTACTCGTTCCCACAAAGTCATAAAAGCTCTTCACCCGGTAGCGTATATGAAATGCAGAGACGGGTGCTGTATCAACTGCCGGTATCATGTTTCCGATGATTAAGAGAGAAGTCAAGAACGAAAGGGAGAAGATCGTAAAAGAGAATGAATTCATTCTTGGTGGTCGTACTTGGTGGGCCAAGATAGTGAAAATAAGCAAGTAGACGTTATCGGTGGGTAGAGTTTTTTGATTTAGGATATCGTGTCGGCTTCGATATCTCTTCGGTTTTGTAACCGTATCACCAAGACCCGTCTTCTCTCGCAGAGATAATAAGAGCAATCCAGCGACGAAAGGCTCATCCATCTTATATATTGCCGTGAGTTCAAATAAGATAATGTCATACAAAACGACTGATGGTCCAATGAACAGTGGATTCGATTTCGGTACTCGGTGATATGCGGGGTTGGGATTTATCGGGAATAAAATAAATATTTATACATTGTCTACCAAAGTGAGGGACCAAGTATCTCGCCAGAACGGGAGACTAGACCAAACACAATTATTTGTCAACACCAATACCTATTGAGTCATTACTGTTACCATAACGGGTACACGTTTCAAAATTTCCAAACTCAATGTTACATCTGTTCTCGTCATCGAGTAATGTGGGTAACAACTTCTTTAAAGGAAGTAAACTGCTGTATTAGTGAAATCTGTTATTAATGCTTTTTTCCACGGTACATCTCACACAATCCTTGTGTGTATCAAACCACAATTTGAGGAACCAATTTGTAATACTATATTCCTTTGAACTTTCCGTTTTATTTTCATTTGTGATGTCGATAAACCCATGTGGACATGCAAGTAATGCTACTCTAAACCTGGAGAGACGACCTTTGATGTAGAAGCTAAACAAGTCCAACTAGAAATCAATCCAGGAAATAAATGTCGAAGCAATCTATGAATTGGTTACTAAAGAAAAGGAAAGGAAGAGGGTGGTTATGGCAATAGTAAGTAGCATAGATTGCATCAGTGCGATCAAAGTATATCAATGGATATTTCCTCCAGTGCAGTCACTATGTGAAATTTTCAAATGTATTGTCTATAAAAAAAGCACTCGCGAATGGATCCAATTGTAAAATATGTGAAAAGTATTTAAAGCTTACTTGTGATAATAATAAGGAATAAAAACTGTATTTAGTCATCTGCAGCTGATTATGAAATTGAATTAAAATTTACGGTACCTGGTTCAAGTTTTGGGTTAGGGTTAATTGATCGTGTGGATCGTATCGCTTTGGCATTGAAAAAGCCAAGTACAGCTAACGGAAAGTCGAGCTGCCTATATATCAATAAGTTGCGCGTCTATAATTATTGCATAGCGTATTGTTTTATGTACCATCCCGATATAGGCAAAGAACGCAACACTCAATTTAGAATATTCGGGAGGAAATATTTGAAATAAGTCATTGTTTTTAACATTAGTCCTCATAACACACGCTTCACATGTCGACTTGTCGACTTTGCTATTTAAAATTCTCAATTTTTTCGTCCCTGTTTTTTAGCCAATCGAGAACTTTTATCATGTACGACACTTGGTTAATAACTTATACAGCTTGGCAGTACCTAGTAATAGCTCAACAATTTCAAACTCTTGGTAGAGTCATGGTCATAACCTTTGCTTGTGAGTTCCTGATTACCGTAAACATGTTTGTGGCTCAGTCGAAACTTCATTGGCTCGATATACTAAACCAGCAAATCACCCGTTCTTCAAGGAAAAATGCAGCCTCATAACTCTCGCGGCTTACTTAACAGTAATCTTTATACAAACCCTACGTCAGTTCGTTCCTCCACGTGCTCTCTCGCTCTCTTCCCGCTTCTCTTACTCTTGCTCTTTCTCCCGTATGTTGCATTGGCAGACACCTGCGAAGAGACATTTTTTACGTCTGAATGTTCGTTATGCCAGAGCACCGTCTTCTCCCTAGATGAGACTCTCAATGCAATTTGTCCTAGTCCACCCGATCCCGAGGCTATAGTCAACTCCTATTCTCCAGATGGGATAAACACTACGGAACTGGACAACTTCTGCTTAAATATGAATAATTGTAACGAGACAAAGTATATCGAATTATATAAGCAGGTTGAACAAGTTTGTGAAAACGAGCTGAACGGTAATGTCAACATGTTCTCAAACTTTCTGAGCCTAATACAAGATGGGTTTTCGAGCGTGTATTATATGATACCGAGACGATGGAGTGTCTGTTTGAAAGGAAGTGATGGAGGTAAGAGTTGCAATGGAAGGGATAGTTGGGAAGGGAGAAATTATATGGAAAGATTTCTTGTTTTAGTTAAGTGCTTTCAAAGATCCAATGTCGCATGTGTAATATTAATGTTTTTATGTTCTACAACTTCATTCACTATTTAATATGCTATCTTCTGTTGTCTCATATAGACTATTGCACATCAGCTAAACTTCGCACTGCCATATCTGTTGTCGGAGATCGCAACGGCAATTCATCAAGTCTTTACGTCCTTGCTCAGATTCCACCTTTGAATACGATCACATACGGCACGAACGACAAAGTTCGCCGGGATATTCCCTTCCCTGAACCTATAATATGTGGAGACTGTTTTGCGCGCACAGTTAGCATATTTGAGAATTATACCAAGATGCAGGGTCAGTTCTCAGACGACGATTCTACTGGGAGGCAAGTCATTATTGATAACTGTCCAAACGAAAAGATGAAAAAGAGATATTGGAAAGAATCCAGTATGGCAAGTGCCGGAATGGGTGGGATGAAGACGCATGACGTTGTGATGTGGTGGTGGAGTGGAATGATCGGATTAGCTTTTCTTTCTTTTTATGATTGGTGAGGGAGTGAACGGATTATTAGAGAGGAACGTTCTAACAATTAAATAGGAAGGGTAAGAATTATGGATGGATTCTGTATATTGGTAGAGATATTTAATATAGACGAATTATTATTTTAATGCTTCAACATGAAAAAGTTATCTGATGCTGAACCACTTTCCAGAATGTTTCTTCAACGACGAGAATGATCTTTTAGAAAATAGCGGACTAAAATATCGCTGCCTTGCCGCAACTCTCAACTCTGGATTGCGTCCTTTTATTAGTTACACCGAAGTAAGATTGCCACTTTAAATAGCCAAGAATGTACCCGAAGCGTTACACACATCCAGGCTGATGGTCGTACACTCCTAAGAGTAGTACAACTCATAATAATAATACTAATAATATATTGCTGTACAACCTTTCAATATTAACCAAACTGATGACTGTCGATCGATCAATTAATTGTATTGTAAAACACGAATATCCCGCCGATTAATTTTATTAAGGTTGGGAAATTAAAATTACATACAGACATTCAATTCTAATTTAATCTAATCGTATAGTTCACAGAAAAACGAAGATAACCAGAACATTAACACCGTATTCCAGTGAATGTAACCCTAGGCATTTATGGATGTATACTGCCTTACATCGTCAATTAAAGTGGTTCCTCACGCAAAGGTTCCTCACATAAACGCTATGCTAGCAGCACCGATGGAAATACTGCCAATTAACGCAAAACTCTTCATTATCATTTCATGCATTCCCATTCCGGCCATTGATGACGCAGCAGACTGACCATCTGGTGTCTGGCCGGAAGTACTGCTAGTAGATGAAGTGTTGGTAGATGAAGTGTTGGTAGATGAAGTGTTGGTAGATGAAGTGTTGGTAGCTGGTGTGGTGGTAGCTGGTGTGGTGGCAGCTGGTGTGGTGGTAGCTGGTGTGGTGGTAGCTGTCGTATCGGGAGATGGAGTAGGCGAACCGTCAGCAGGGGTAGTAGCATCAGTTGTCGTATCGGTAGTTGTAGTAGTCTCGCCCGTATTATCAGTAGTTGTAGAAGCACCATCAGCAGTTGTAGAAGTACCGTCAGGAGGAGCGGGAGGAGGAGGGTAACCATCTCCATAATCTTGTCTTTTGCCAAGTTCGTTCGGCGAAATGTAGCTAGCAGTGGTGAAAGTTAAAAGAAGTAGACAGAGTACCAACAGGAGGCAATGTTTGCTGACGAGCATTGTGGTAGAGATTTTGTTCTGAGAATTCGAAAAAATTATAGCGTAGCAGAGAAAGTCGTTAGCTCAATGTGCAAGCAAGTCCCGCGTAGCAGAGAAAGTTGTTAGCTTAATGTGCAAGTCCCGCCTTTTATAGCGTAGCAGAGAAAGTCGTTAGCTTAATGTGCAAGTCCCGCCTTTTATAACTGAACTCTTACATAATACTCATTAATTATTAATGATGTACTGCATAACTTGAGAATTAAACCAAATTTTATCAATCTTCAAATGTGGTTAGATTTCCACGAAAAGGGTTTTGTGATCTAAACATAGTAAATCTAATTTGGAAGATTTTGCGAATTATAGAAGATGGAGATTTTAATAGGTTTCAATTGTCTTACAAATTACAGAACAGTCTCATGGAATATTTATCCGGGGGGAGGGGAGGGGAAAGGGTTAGGGTTCCCTGTTAAAGAACCGAATTAACGTTAGTGTTAGTACAGGATTGCTGCATGCCAATGGAAGTAAATACGTCCCAAGGGTATAGGTATCTTTCAGCAAAGATCCATTTACTAACAGATATGGATGACCGTTTGACAAAATTCAAGCAGCACGAAAGAGAAGAAAAGTTGGAAAAACCGAGTCATATGGATTTTGACTGTGTTCAATAAAGAGTAAGTACATAGTAATAGGTAAACTCGTTAAGTCGGACACGACGGCTGGGATGGCTGACTTATCGAAGAAAAAGTTAGAGATTTTGTCCGACTTACCGAGTTTACCTATGTATTAGTATCTGGTATATGTACATGGTTCAGGCAGACAATCTGTTATATCGGGCGGCACTAGGCAAATTTCCAGAATTATCATACATATTGTGGCACCAAATAGTATGTAAATTAATTAGTAGGGTATTTATCAAACTGACTCTCTCTATCGTTTAACTCCCTCCTTCGTTTAGCTTCCCTATCTCTAGAAAGCATATTAATAACATTCAAATAACAATACTTGTTCTCCATAGTTCCACATTCGACTCGCTGAACGATTTCTCACCTACAGCTCATTCGTTTTTCGTCAATCATCCTTCCACTTTGTGTCCTTGTTTACTTGGGTTATTGCAAGGATAACGGAGTAAAGAAGAGAGTAGTTGTTGGGGATTTGGGTGCAGAAGGTTGCGCAAGTTGGTTTTCTTGATGATGAGTAGAATTTATTATCAGAACTAGAGCGGTTTGTGTGTAACACTTGATAAAGGCGTGCTATTGGTGCACCGGTCATTGTCAAGTGTTAGTAGTACGAATGCTTTAGAAGTTTAGGCTTATATTGCGATGCAGTGAAAGAAAGAATGTTCAACAAAGAATGCAAGAGCGTTTATCTCAGGGTGGCCAATGATTCTTTTGATAATATCGTTTTATGTCATATTATTCTTTCTGATTCGTTATCGTAAACAAAAGGATGACACAAGCCCGATCGTCCAAGTTCTTCTCTTACATTGCTATCTGCAAGCTTATATTGACTCTTGTGAACTTTCCTTTTACATCGCGAAATTCATTCTTGATTTGTCATTTACCATATATTCGCTAACCAGACACACAATAAATGCTGCGAGACTGTATCATCAAAGTGCCGTATATTTTTGAAAATGCCTTTTGTTGCAGTCGATGATAAATAAATGCAGAACGTGAGTCTTTCTCTCTCTTTCGAAACTTGTTAACTGCTGCATAAAATATAATGGTTGGGCAAATTTAGGTACTACGTTCTGTCAGACAAAGCTCTCTCGCGTGTTGCTGTTGCGTAACATATACTTTGTTTGTGGTTACTGCCCAATCGCAACGGCCTTGACTTTTTAATCTATTGTATGACTGAACACAGCATTTAGAACAAGTTTTTGATTGCAGATCCTCTGGCCGCGACAATATGTTCAACTTATCAAATTTAAATATTGTTAGCGTTTAATCGTAAAAAATAAACAGTCCCCAAGATGACAACAATATACGATACATCAGGAATAACAATAAGAACAAGCTAATATTATGAACACCAAGTTCATGACTATAATTAGTGATGTCGCCATCATATTGTCTAAAGGTAACTCAAGGATCGGTTGTTGGCTCTCACAGAATACCTTCATTGCTATTGTTATAGCTATAAATCTAGTATCGATGCCACCACGCGAGTGTACAAGAGAGCAAAAAGGGCTTGTTTTAGCAGCCCCGCTAATTAGAAAATTGGTTACGTTGCTGTGTTTGGGTGAGACCAGTCATGGGGAAGGCTAAGAATAATATTAATTCTAATTAAAAAAACGCTGTACACCAGGAATAATGCTTCCAGCAAAGCCATCGACAGATTTTCTTAAAAGACAATCGATATCTGATAATACAAACATATACAATTAATGGAAGAACGGATAATTACATTATATTGTCTACAAACTGAATGTACGTCATACCAAAGGATATATTTCTTTTTTAGGTAAACATATCTTGGTTTTTGGCCCCGTCTTGATTGCTCGTTTCTTCAACAGAGTTTCTTCTAATCAGAGTTTTTGCTCATCCCACGCCATAGACTCATAAACACTTTCGCTTATTCCATGCGACCAATACTATCCGTGTCTGTTTGTAATATTAATTTGTTGACAGATTTTGTGTTAGATCCAATACCCAAAAATCCGGAACTTTTTCCAATTACACAACGATTTTCTGGACTCTTTATCACCCTAACACCTGAAACCAGAAAATTCTGATACAGAACACAAGACCCTGACGGCTATTTTTGGCAAAATTTGCGTTTACGGCAATTTCACTACGGGTAAGAAAAAAGGTATAAAATGAGGAGGCGATGAGCGGGGGGATAGGGCGAGAAATAGAGTTAAGACTCAAGTAGAGTGATAGATTTGACATCTAGCAAGTTAGAAATCCCTTTCCCTCCCCTTCACATAAAAACAACATAGAGTATCAGGAATATTTTTAATACCTGACACAAATTAAGGCCACTTGTTTGAAATTAAATTTGCCATACTATAAAGCTGGGTCTTGGATCGTCATCAGAGAAAGAATCGATCTGGGATTACATTAATTTTAATTTGCGCTACCTACCAAATACAACAACAAACACATTCATACTCTTTTATTTAAAGTCGAATCATTCCTAGTCATCAATTTGCCGTCAAAAATGACAAAATCAAAATCCAGTTTTATATGCCGCTCAGCTTCCCCTACGCTAATGAATGTCGATTCACCAGAATACAAGAGACTCATGAGCGAAGCAGTATTATCGCATCTCAGAGAAATGAACAAGGACGTTAACACGTTTACTACAAACCTGCCACTCGCAGTACTACTTGCTCCCTGTAAAAAAAATCGAGGTAATCGCGGAGTTTCTCGCCCACAAAATGAATTCATTCTCTACCGTAAAGACATTCAAGACGAAATTCGTCGAGAGCATCCCAATGCCACATTTATCGAAATCTCAAAAATAGCCAGCAACAGGTGGAAAAATGAAACGACAGAGAAGAAAAACCTCTTTACAGTGTTAAGTAAAGCGGGTTACTTGGCGCACAAGGAACTATTTCCAGACTACAAATATCAGCCAAAGCAAAAGTGTGGTAGAGGTAAAAAAATGGTAGAGGTAAGCCAACGCGGAAAAAACAAAAAGAGTGAACTTGATCCATGGGCCAAATCGGTTACGATGCCACAAATGTTTATAAAGACTGAGAGCGAAGACAAGGATGACAATAGAGCGAAAGACAATATGACTATAAATTTTCGTGTTGACAATCATACTAATCAGCAATCATTCAAGACAGCCGACGATACATTTTTGCTGCAACAATCGTCGTCACACAACAATGATGACAGCTCAAACACGGAATCTAGTGACATGTTCTCGTCCTTTGCCTTGTCACCGTTTTTTTCACCCGGCGTAGAATCTTGTTCATCTGACATTTTTGCTTCGCCTCAACCTTCCACGTCACCAATGTCTTTTACCGAACAGTCTTCGATGAGTGCTGGTTCGCTGTACGAAGATCAAATAATGGACTACAGCGATAACATGAGTGATGGCAATAAACAAAACAGCGAATTGAACTGTGCTATGCAAACTGACGATATGAGTACTCGGATGAATACCGAGCTGGATAATGTGTTGATAAACCCTATGCTTTCGATGGGATTTCCCAACTTTGAACCGGAACCGGAACAACTTGCCGTATTTGGTTTTTTAAATGAGATGCTTGGAGCCGGGGAATTTGCGACTAGTGAGAAAGATGAGAATACGCTTGATAATTTAACCGCTGAAAATAATACACCCATAGCATGTCCTTCTTCTTCTTCTTCTTCTTCTTCTGTACAAAATGAGCAAACATCATCATTATCATCGGGCTTGTTTATTGAAATTCCCTCCTCTTGCTTGACACCGTCTCAGTCCTCTTTATCACCAACATCCCATTCGTCTTATTCTCCATCTTACCCTCCTCCCTCTACTGCGGCTCCATCGGATAATTCTGGATTTTCTTTCCTCGATTTTTCTTCCCTCCATCCTCCCATTCCTCCGTCTCCGCCATCGTCAGAATCTACTCAGACATTTTCAACAGAAAACCAATTCTTGTCAATGTTAATGCAGGATCCAAGCGAGACCTATTTCGGATATAATGATTTGTTGTTTGGAAATGAAACTTCTCAATGAACAATAACGAATAGCAATTTAACATCGAGCTGGGGAGGGATTAGTTATAGTATACATATTTTTTTTGCATTTTGTTTTCTTTTCTTTTTCGATCATATCTGTTTCTTTTTTTTTCTTTTCTTCTTCTTCTTGTATTATTTCATTTGGGTATTTGATATCCAATGTGTTGGATTTCTGTACTTTAGTAGCTGTTACACTATGTAAATAAATCAACCAAACAAAGACTGCATTTTTTTGTTTGCCATATTCTCAGAACATAACTCGATTCGGTCATGTAAATTAATTTAATTTTGAGCTGAAACATGCAAGTTACTGAAGAGAAGGGTCCCGAGAAACGAAAAGAGGGGTGGAGGAATGTATGAGAAATGCATAAGGACATATTCGTTAAAGATTGTGCCATAATGTGAAAACATGTGGCGTATAATTGCGTGTGCCAGTACTACCATCAATTTAGTCTATACAATGCTTTCGGTTGATGCATAAGAAGGTTCTTTATCGCTTTGCCTATTTCTACGGTGCATCGAAACATATGCTCCCTGTATGTAACGTTATATTCTCAATATTTATAGAATCTGCTTTCATTGTTAATTTGCCTATTCGTTCTATCGATTATGTGCTTTTACCTTGGCAATTCCTTTACCAAGGCACTAGTGCTACATTATTGAAATTACGTTATTGAAGTGTGATTAGTATTATTATTTTAGCTCGCTATTATATGCCATATTATAGCAACAGCTTGCGATTTTCGCAATTACTAATGTTACGCGTGTTAATACTTGCTGTATTGAATGACGTTTGGTTTCTCTGTTTGGGAAGACATAAAGAACAGATTAGCTTTAGTCTTTGTAGAAAGAAAAGACAGCATTTGTTCGATTATCAAACCGGGTATCTTAAGCAAAACCTGCGTTGGTTATCCACAATTTATTCAACGTCTCAGCCTTCTTCCAGAACGGAAATTATATCAATCGTATGTTATGTACCAGTTTAAATGCATGCATTTGTAGGTGCAGCTAATAAAGAACGCAGAACAACCAAACGGAAAAATTTTGGGTAAAACAAAGAAAGATCATATCATTATGCGCACTCGACATAAAAGGAATTATTTTCGGATTTCCTTTTTTTGTCGATTTTGCTTACAAATTTACACTTTCACAAATCAATTATAGTCTTCAGAAACACGGCATCGGAACGTTATTCGAGTTTCGGGTCAGAGACTGAGACTACCGGCGAAACGGATTCACTATCCTTGTCTATGCAAGATCACCGTCACGAGACAAAACCGTCTTAGGTTAGTTAGAGTATAAGTAACTGTACTACATTAAGAGACTTTTTTACTTAAATAATACATCGGATCACCAAGACTGGGTTTACGGTATTCATTTTATAAATCATTTCCGTTTCTTTGAGTTCTTTCAACAATCTTCCAACCTTTGGATTCCCTTGATTCTAAAATTCGCCACTGAGGAACATTAATTTGATTAGAAGTACAGTAATCGAGTTCTTTGCAAGCATCCGATATCTTTTACTCTACATTTACTAAGCAGCTTTTTGAAGAAAAATAATGTTCAAGACTTGCCATATCAGCATTTATAACGAGAATACTGCTTTTAGCTACGTCAAGCTTACACTTAAAAGACCCGTTACATTGCAACAGGTTATCATAACTAACCAAGACAATCAGAATAATCTATACAAAACAGAATACTCGTAACTTGAGTGTGCAACAGCTTTCCTGGTGAATAAAGAAATTTAGTGCATGAAAGCTTTTTGAGTTAAATAATACATTCCTCTTATATGATTGATATTTGTCTCTTGTTGCTCGTTACCCGCAAAACAAGATTAACTGTAATTATTGCAATGCAAAAAGCCTTCAGTAACTATATAGCTGTAGTTTGTTTATAGATAATACTAAAATTGTACTAAACTCTATCGAAGCCAATTTTCACATGCGGTTCACAATCTTTTTGTTATTTTCGCTCAGCTAATACTAATGCCAAATCTTTTTAATATTATTGGCTTCCACTTTTTTTAGTCATACAAGATATAAGTATGTCATTGTGTCGTGTATACTAACATATTATACAGTATGTAGATTCAATGATACTGTATCGCCGATTGTTAATATACAATGATCATTGTTATTTCTATAATAGAAATCGTCATCTGACCTGCCGTAATCGTTAAACTGACGAAATAAGATTACGATGGCTTTATTTGTCCTCGGTTATCTGAATAATCTTTCTTTTTTACCCAATTCTTGATAACTTGGATCGAGTACAATACGGAATACAAAGACTATAAGCGTATAATCGTAACAGTAAAAAAGACGGAAAGCGATGTTGGCAACCTGGAGTATATGTAATGTTCAACGGCCAGTAAACAAAGATCAAATTTCCAATACAAGGTTTATTTGTTCTTGTTTGTTCATATTATCATTGAGTTTTTATTTACGCTTTACACTGATAACTCTAATTCCAGTGAACAATAAGCCATTTGTAGTGAAAATATTTGTTTGGTCGACAGTAAATAACAATGTGAAGATAATATAGGTTTCATCCAGATCATACTTTTCTCATGACTGCCAAAATGATCGGATGTGTAATAGCGGTTTTTATATATTCTGACACAATCTGCGTCACACATGCAGATCACTAATCGATTTATTTTACTTGTCTTATTTGCTTACGGTTTATAATCGTATTATCGTTTAGCGAGTTATCGTGCATTACATCGTTGTCCCATAAACAATAACAATAATAGCAATAAAACTATGTAAATTCGTAAAGCAAACATCAAGACTGTAAGCACATTGATGATCATACTATTTGTCCAATGCACTGGACTGTCTATCCGAAATAGCAATCATGTCATTCGCTTGTTGTCACATGTGCGCATTGGTAAAAATAAAACAAGCAAATGTAAAGATATGGCCCACCTTGAAATAAGACTGTGATTCATCACTGGTCAATACTAACAATTAAAAGAATCGCATCCCGAAAAAAAAAAACCAGTTAATTTAAATATATTCATTATGACTCACATTTGTTATTTTAATTTGGTGATCATAACGCAGTTAGTTCTTCGTATCCTAGCATTGTTTGCTCTTTTCCCATAGCATTACATTGCTTCCCAATTTTACGAAACTATGATCCCACAGGAGATTAGCTTGTCGAGAAGGGTATAACCTGACAGTATACTTGTGCCATTCTCTGAATCGGCTGACGTTTTACGTCCGTTTCTTTCCCACATCCACCGTCCACCGAAGAGTTATAAAAGCCTTTACTCTCTCCCTTCTCTTGCTCTCCATCGAAACATAGTTTTGATAAGACAAGAACGACTCTATAGTAATACTTTTCGCACTGGTCAATCTACCAAGATGAAGTTTTCGACGATTATTTTGGCGTGTCTATCCGCCCTTTCCGTTACCAGTGTCCAAGCTGGCTTTTTCCCCGGAACCGGCTTCCAAAACAACGCTGCTACTCAAATCGCTTGCACCAATTGTGGAAAGACCATCCAAACCAAGAGAATCATCAGGACAAACTTCCAGAAATTCAACTTCCTCAAGTTTAGGAAAACTAATGTCATACCCACTACTATCATCACCAGGAAAATCACCAAGATTGCTCCATTTACCAATATTCCTGTCACGAAAATCGTCAAAGTTGCTCCATTTACCAATATTCCTATCACGAAAATCATCAAAGTTGCTCCCTTCACCAAGATCGTTAGGGTTGCTCCCTTCACCAAGATTGCTCCATTCACCAATATTATTCCCACGAGGATCGTTAAGGTTGTTAAGGTTGCTCCCTTCACCAAGATTGCTCCATTCACCAAGATTGCTCCATTCACCAAGATTGTTAAGGTTGCTCCATTCACCAATGTTATCCCCACGAAGATTATTAAGGTTGCTCCCTTCACCAAAATTGCTCCCTTCACTATTACCAAGTTTGGTGCGCCTTGGTTTGGTGCGACGCCTTTCCTTGGTGCGCCTTGGCTTGGAGCTAGGCCTTTCCTTGGTGCGACGCCTTTCCTTGGTGCGCCTTGGCTTGGAGCTAGGCCTTTCCTTGGTGCGACGCCTTTCCTTGGTGCGCCTTGGCTTGGAGCTAGGCCTGGGCTTTATTAGAATTAATTATAATGACCGTAATGCGCTAATATTTCTATTAACGAGTCTCTTGAGCAATAAGTGCACACGTAATGTTTTCCGACATAAATTTCCAACAGGAATGTTTTGTTCCTTGTCCATTGCTTAATGTTATTAGGATACAGTATATTTTACTTTCAGTTACCTACTAATTTCTTTGTTAATGTCCTTTTTTTCACAAAATAATAACGTTAATGTAATTCTTAATATCAAACATGTGGTTTACGAGAGACTATGAAAGAGTTGCTTTAAGTTAGTAATATCGATCTCTAACCACAATAAAAACTAAATGTTCAAAAGCTTGTATATCGCATTTATTTGGACTACGCATGTTGTAATTACCGACAATTAGGCGTGAAATTAATTGATACGTCGATCATCACTTATGGTTAACTAACAATGTTTAGTATATGTCTTGCTATCAAACCTTATTATATTACATGGTAGTACCGCAATGGTTGTTCCTTACATTCTAAACAGCATCAATGCTATGTCTCCCATTCGTAAACGGAGATATGTTCCCGTACTAGGAATAAAAAAATCACATGATCATAGTAGAGCTTGGTCATAAGCTTACTACCGCATCGAACGTAGACTTGTATTTTGCAGTCTTTTCTAGCTGGCTGTTCTAACTAGAAAAAATATGAACAAATATAAAATTATCTTGAAAATAAGGGTATACCATCATTAAATTGAATAATGTTACCCGAAAGGAATAATCATCAAT